TCTTGGCAGCTTTTCCGAGGCACTGAAGGTATAGCTATTGCAGTGGAACATGAGCCCATTGAGGGTGGGATTGTGTCTTATTTATCTTTGTAGAACCACAGCAGGGGACACCCCGTAGCATGTCAGAGATGTTCACTCAGTGGTTTCTGGACTGAACTAAGATATCCTAATAGAAATGTTAATTTAAAAATGATAAAAAAAATAAGCCCACAGCAGTTTTTTTTTTTTTTTTTTTGAGAGGTTTTTGCCATAGGGCGCGTGTGCTCGCCGGACAGACAGAGACATAGAGACAGAAAGCGAGAAATCACCCCCCGGGGGGATGGTCATGCCGCAATCCCTTCTCTTCCATTCTCCTCTCGGGGTCTTGGGCATGCACGCACACGCGCCCGGCGTGAGTTTTAAGCCACTGGGTCCGGGACGCGAACCGCGGTCGACTACGTGGGAGTCCAGCGACGTAGCCATTACGCTAACTGCTGGTTCCCACCACAGCAGTTTTTAGTTGCATTGTTGGTCCTGAATATAACTTACTCGTATAATAGTGGTGTGATTCAAGTCACATCTATTCTTCTGAATTTCCAGAACTTTTCCCAAGCCATGGATCACTCCTTTGTCAGTGGCAACATTGGTGTAGTTTATTGGGGCCTCATTAACATAGAGCTGTGAACAAGAGGGTTAAAAGTGCCTTTTTATTATAGTAATTTAAAGAAGATGAGGAAGATTGGGACACAGCCTAGGAGAGATAACGATATTCATTTGGAAGGTGGTATACTGTAGTGAAAAGAGTTCTGGCCTTAGAAAGGGGCGTCTGAGTACAAGTTCTGCATCTGAGTAATAGTCCAACTTCTAGCTGTGTGTGTTTGGGCCAGTTCCTTTCTTTCCTGAACCTCAGTTTTCTCTTTTGTAAAAGGAAGAAGTTGTTCTAGATCACTTATGGGGTACCTTTCCCTATCTACAATTAATTTCCTTATATTTGTTTGAAAAATGCTGCCCCATGATTATTTTGTCAGTGCCCATTGGCAGGATGGCTCCATGAACATTCTCAGTTACGTCGTAGATAGCAGGCTGGAGGCGTCAAGGCCTTTCATCACCAAGACACGGAAATGTAACCCATCCTTTTTTTTAAAAAAAAAGTTTATTTATTTTACATTCAATTACTGTATATCATTACAGTATATAAAGTGAATTTTCCTAACCAGAATACATTGCATATTGATTCAAAGATATTAACATACCTATTATCTTCAATAGGTAATTTTCCATATTGTGTTTCTTAATTGCTTTACTTCTTTCTTCTTTCTTTTTTCCCCTTGATTCCCTCCTCTCACCCTCTGCCATTTCCCACCCTCCTCTTACACTGTCTCTGGTACCCACAGCTGCTCTCCATGCCTTTATGTTGTTCAGTTTCTGACATTCAGTATAAGGTGGAGACATACAATGCCTCGCTCTCTTTCTTTTTCTTTAAAGAATTATTTTATTTAACTTTGATTATTTATTTATTTATTTATTTATTTTAATTTGACCAGAGAGGGGCAGAGTGAGAGAGTGAGAGAGAAAGTGAGAAAGAAAGCAAGTGCCAAATCTGAGACTTAAACCACAGTTGGCCATGTGGGGGTCTAGTGCCCTTAACCAACATGCCACCTGCTGGCCCCTAAAATGCCTCTCTTTCATAGTCTAGCTTGCTTTACTTAAGAATATATCTTCCATATTTGTCCACTTTCTATCAAATGCTAGGATCTCATTGTTTCTTACGACTGAGTAGTATTCCATACCATATATGCACCATACTTTTTCAATCCATTCGTCTATTTGTGGACATTTGGTTGGTTCTATATCTTAACAATTGTGAATAATGCCACAATAAACATGGATGTACAAGTGTTTTTCTGACTGAATGTATTCCTATCATTTGGGTAGATATGTAGGAGTGGAATGGCTGGATCACATGGTACTTCTATTTTTAGGTCTTTGAGGAATCTCCATATTGCTTTCCATAGTGGCTGTACTAATTTACATTCCCACCAATAGTGCAGGAGAGTTCCTTTTTCTCCAAAGCCTTCCAATATTTATTCTTTATTTTTTTAATCTTAGCCATTCTGACTGGGGTTTCGTGGTATCTCACAGTAGTTTTGATTTGCATCTCCCTTATGATAAGGGATGCTGAGCATTTTTTCATATGTTTGTTGGCTGTTCATATGTCTTCCTTAGAGAGTTGTCTGTTCAGCTCATTTGCCCAGTTTTTAATTGGGTCGGTCATTTCTTTTCTTCAGGTAAATTGATTTTTTCACATCTCAACGTTGTGGCTAATTCACAAACAACCCTCAGAAAGGCTAAATTGCAGTTTATAAAAGTGTGTAAATAAATAATTAGACAAGACTTTAAAAAAAAGTATAGTTGGCTCCATCTTGGTCTAGCATGCCCATAAACATCCAAGACATAGTGACTACATCAGTGTCCAAATGTTGCCAAATCAAATTATGAATTACAATTTATTTTATCTTTTTTTAAAAGAGAAGGATATGTAAACAATTATTAAAAGAAAAAATAAAGAAATTCATTCATTAATATAATAAATATAATTTGAAATGGATGGCTCTTTGAAAAATTGGAGTGATGTATATATACTTGTATGTGTGTAAATGTAGCAGGGCTTAGATTGGGGGGGACTTCTTATTGTACAAAGCAGACATCTAGTTAGTATTCTGTAAGAGCCTACAATTCATAAAATAATTCATAAACTTACATCCCCAACACTCCCCAATATTAAAATGACCCTACTGTGCTTAAATGTGAACTTCTGCTGAATGTTAACGTTGTTTATGATTGATTTGCAGTCAAATAAAGTTCCATTTGGATATTTCCATTTGGATCATGGCTGAGCTCCATAGACATGTTCCATTTGGTCTGTGCACATTAGGAAAATTAGCAGGAAGCTTAACTTAAATGGTGATTATAACACAAATTTACAGAATTCTAAGATGCTGAGCTATTTTAAAATACCAAAATAGCAGAACATTTGATGTTGTAAAACTGTTGATTTGACATTAAAAAAGCCTGAATCATTTGCACCAAGAGATATATCCAGAAAATTATAGGTTGCATTAAAATTTTGATTTGAACATGTCTATTCATTTATAAAGCATCTTTGTACACTTCTGTTGTAAGAGCAAGGAAGTATCATTAAACGCAAAGCCCCTAACGTATGAATACATACACTTCTTGCACTAGAACAAAGATTTTTCTGAAAATGGAAAATGAAAATTACAGGATTAGAATTGATTCAACTAACTGCATTAGAGTATTACTCTCTATATGATGAAGAAAAGATGTCAGACAAAACCAAAATAAGGGCTGGCTCTGTGGCCTAGTGGTTAAGGGGGTTAGATATCATATGGCCAACTATGGTTTGAATCTTGGCCCTAGTGGCTTGAAAAACATGCTGGGTATATGTGTGTGCACCACAGAGTCCAGCAGGATGGAGAAATAGAGGAGAAGGGGCTGGGGTATGGTCGCATCCCATCAGGGAAGGTGATTTTCCCTTCTCTCTCTTTCTCTGTCTCTGACTGTTGAGTGTATGCATCGTCTGACATTAAAAAAAATAAAACTAAAAACAAAAATGAAGGCTCTATCAATAACAATTGCTATTCCTGGAAAAATAAGGAAATGCATTTAAAAGAATCTCTTCTAAGTTGTTACACAATAGGTAGAATTATTTGTACAAGTCAGAGAAAAATATTTGGAATTAGATTATTCTCCAAGTAATGAAGAGTCAGGAAGACTTGTTTTTGCCTCCAAGATCAAACTATTTTACAGAAGCCTTGGGCTGTGGTGTACAAGTGGTGGGGTGCTGTTGTGCAAGGCTGGGACCACATGGGAGGCCAGGGTTTGGTTCTCGAACCTACCTAAAACAGGTCAGGCATGGTGGTGCATGCCTGTGATCCTGTTTAACTGAAAGGCTCAAACAGGAGGATTGCTGCATGGTGAGACCTTGTTAAAAAGTGCTTATTTCTCGCTTTCTTTCTCCCTCATTTAACAAAAATGAAGAAAAGAAAAAAAAAAACTTACATAAAAGTTTACTGGTGATTCAACAATGATACCATTGAGGAAATTGCTTTTCAGATTACACTTTTTATAAAGAATTAAATAATATTATTGCTCAAAACTTCTCTTCTCTGATTATACATTCATTTTAATATAGTGCTTAGCTTCTTTTAAATAATAATTTGTTTTTATTAATTTTTCCTGTGAGTGTTGATATTAGAATTCTATTGTGAATTCCTTGTTGAATTTTTATGACTGATCTTTTGACTGGACAGTTGAGAATAGAATTTTGTATCTGAAATAAATTAAATATTTAGTTTCATTAATTCTTTCTCATGAATTCTTTTTTGTTTTTAGGAGAGATTTTTGCTATAGAGTGCATGCGCTTGCCAGAGAGACAGAGACAGAGAGACAGAAAGTGAAAAATCACCCCCAGGGGGACAGCTACACTGCAATCCCTTCTCTTCCACTCTCTTCTCAGAATCTTGGCCACCCATACACATATGCTCAGCATGAGTTTCAAGCTACTGGGTCTGGGATTTGAACTGCAGTCAGTCATGTGGGAGTCCAGTGACATAACCACTATGCCATCTGCTGGTCCCATTTTTCCCATGAATTTTAAACACTCTTAAACAGGTATTGCGTGAGGTGTATACGGAACACCAGTGTGAAGAAGAGTTGGTTCTAGGACTACAACCTTGATGATTAAGGTTGATTCATTTGGCTGCTAGGATCTGTATTTGTCATTAGGTTTCTTATGCCCTAGAGCAATGCTCATTCTGGAGTTAAGATCCCTTTCATTTTGGAGACCCTTGGTTAAGTGTTTCTTTCTTTTTATCTTTTCTTTTCTTCCGCTTTCTTTTTCTTGCTTTCTCCCTTCCTTTTTTCCCCCTCTTTCTTTCTTTCCTTTTTTCTTTCTTCTTTCTATGATTGAAGGGCACCTGTGAGGGCTAGGATGCAAATACCATGATTAGTAAGTCTACACCGATTATCTGAAGGGTGGTCACATGGTGTGCAAGTGGGAGCCTGATAATCTGGCTCAGTCATTCCCTTATGATGAGACACAGACTACTGTGTTGTTGCTAAGGCTTAGGAAGGTGAGATGATTCCAATATGTGATGATGGATGACGTTGCTAAGATTTGGAAGTGATGATAGATGACAGATGATAAAAAACACTTGCTCTGGGTTTTAAATAAGAGTATTGTACCTGGTCATTGTGGAGAAAGAAGCCAAGAGGGTAGGAGAAACCCAGCATGGTCTCTCGATGCATGCCATTGTGCAGGTCATTCTTCAGGAGTTTCTCCTCCAGGACCACATGATACCGAAGTATACTCTCCTCCTGGACAATGGAGTTGAAAGTCAATCCATAGATCAGCCAGCAGATATGGGGCTTCTCTGATACGGGGTTACAAGAAGGAGCAATACCTTGTCAAAGTGTAACATTGAGGGAGGAGGCATCAAGACATAATAGATATGAAACACTAGAGTTGTGAAACACATCATCCCAGGGTACTTGCCAGTTTTCCAAGGACAGTGGTCAACAATTCATTAGGTGACTCTAAAGCACAGACTGAGGGTATGAAAGTTGGAGGTGGATTTTAAAGGTTTCTTTGGGCAGAAATGCTGTGTAGAGAAAGCCTGCATTTTGGTCTGGGGTCTGATCAAGCCTATGAGCTGGGTACAGCAGGGCAAGGAGAGTTGTCCTACACTCACAGAATTGGCTTGGGACAAGAGACTGTAGGTGTTTACTGTGGCTCAGAGATGTGGTGCATCTGTCATAGTACCCCAAGTCTTATACAAGATGGCTGCCTAGAAGGGCAGATAGGCTTCCTGAACGGAGAAGCCAGAAATGTGCTCCAAATTCCTAGGGTCCTCCTACTCTCTTCCTTTCCTCTAAACCCTCCTGCCCTCTAAATATCTCTTCAAAACTACTGACTCCTCACTTCATACCTGATGAAATCATAACTGAGTTTATTGAAGTCAAAAAAGGGAATAGAGGGAACCAGCAGTTAGCGTAATGACTATGTTGTTGGACTCCCACGTAGTTGACCGCGGTTTGCGTCCCGGACCCGGTGGCTTAAAACTCACGCCGGGCACTTGTGCATGCGTGCCCAAGATCCCGAGAGGAGAATGGAGGAGAAGGGATTGCGGCGTGACCATCCCCCCTGGGGGGTGATTTCTCGCTTTCTGTCTCTATGTCTCTCTCTGTCTGTCTGGCGAGCACACGCGCCCTATAGCGAAAAAAACCTCTCCAAAAAAAAAAAAGAAAAAAAAAAAGGGAATAGAAGCATGATATGGGGAATGAAGAAAGAAGTTGCTAAGTCATTGTCTTTCAGCTCTAAACCCACTCTCTTATACTCTGCTTTGTGATGCTGGGGCTGATTCTATAATCTACATTTCTCCTTTGCTAGGGAGTTTATAACTTGGAGAGCTAAGACCTGCCTTTGGAAAATACAGTTAATTATACCAGGGGTATTTTTGAAGTGCTGAAGAAGATACATGGCAGAAGAGAGTATCAGGGAGCTAGAGCCAGCTTCCTTTAGGAGGTGGGCCTAGACATGAAGAATGAGTAGGGAAGATGAAGGAAGAATAGGAAGCGCAGCCTTTCTGATTGAGGAGTCAGGGTATGTGCATGTGTGCATATGTGTGTAGATAGGAACAAAGGCACCAAACACATTTCTGGCATGTTTAGGATCAATAAGTCTATCATTAGACAACGTGGTTTCTTTACATTACTGCCTGAAGACAGCAATATGTCAAGGGTGGCTTAGTGGAGCTTTAAGTACCAGCAGTATCTTGTTAGCATCTTCATCTCAGCCACTCTGTGTAAAGATATAAATAAAAACAGCATGCTTGCCTGTGGAAATCCAGCTCCCAGCATGACTCCTCCTGTGGGGCCAAGTGTGAGGAGCCCTGTGCTCTCCCTGTATAAAAAGTCTAGAGCCCCTGAATGTAAGAGAAAGTGTGACCAGTTAATGGAGATCTTAAATAACTGGGGAGGGTGTTTGAAATTAGTCCTGAAAAAAACAGGATCCACTCAAAGGTTTTAAGCCAGATAGTGGCACGATGGAAGCTTTTTGATTAATTCACACAATTCTTTGATAAACCTTGACTATTTGCCCCCAAATATTAGGAGTCATGGAAGATAGAGATGGAAGAAGAGAAGAAAGAGATGATTCACTCTTCTAAGTCCCTGTTGCTGTCATCTGGGTTGCTGGGGACCAGGCGGAGGACAGGGAAGGGTGGAGAAGTGACCATGAGGATCCTTCCAGGTTCCTGGAATGCTACATGCTTGTGCATCTGGGCTCAAGTATGAACTTCTAGAAGTACACACTAAATATAGGAAGGTTTGTGTGTGCAAGAGTTCTGTATGAGTCTCTGCGAAGTATGTGGGAGTGGACAAGAAGGTTTTGATGAAAGAGTGAAATGGTGCATAACTGATGGACTGAAAATGTTGAGTCTGTGAATTTTTGGCATTTATCTTCCCTGGTTATTGTTCCCAGCACCTACTAGAGTTGTGACCTTCTTCTCCTTGACGTAATTCTGGATGGCGTTATTGCTTGGAGCAAACACTGTGTAAGCATCGGCAGCCTCGATTACATTTGCCAGGTTATATTGCTGCGATGGAAAGACAGAAGAGCATGTGAGGGATTCCCATTCCCAAGTAACCTGAGGAAGGTGGTCAGGCAGGGAACATAGTACTTGCAATGATATATCCCCGGAAGATGGAATAGTCAGGCATCTGCTCCAGCCGGGTGAGTAAGTTTGGTAAAGAGCCAGTTAGACCTCTTTGGGGGATCAGCACCTGGGAAAGGAAACCCCAATATTCTGTTAGCATGTTTCCATAAACTTGCTGCTAGTTCATGAACACAAAAGTCCTGTTCACCAATTTAAGCAGTTAAAGGAGTTGACATTGATAATGTTTTGAAGGTTACTTGCAGAATAAAAATGTTCTGGAATGCAGTGACAAGGATGGAAGGCTCTCGTGGGTGTTATTAGTTCAATTTAATGTCTCTTTCTGACACCTGCCCAATTAGAGAACACATGATCTTGCCCTGAAGACTTTATATTTTTCCCTAGGTAATCCATTCTGTCATTCCCTTATCAGGCAAGACCCTGAAAGTCTAAGTAAAATGCAACAGGCTGCAGCTAAAATCGATCTTCCTTTCTTATTCTTTTGCTTGTTTTTCAGGTCCTTCATTTCTTTTCCCTAAAGTCTTAAATCTGCTGCCACTAGTTGCCTGAATCTACCTTGTGAAAACGTTTTATTTGGCTCATGCAGTGTAGTAAAAACAGGACATTTTTACTTAAAATTTTTGATCTCTGACTTCTTTTTTTAAAACATTAATCTACATCCTGCAGATGACATTCTGCAGAAGCCACTTTCATAGAGAAATACCATGTGATTTCAGAGATGGAAGAAGAGAATAAAATTGCCATTTACTAAAGGTCTACTAGGAAACAGGCATTGAGAGTGGAGGATGCCATGCCACTCCTCATGGGGGAAGAAAAATGAGGCTCAGAGAGGTTATGTAACTTACTTAAGTAAGAGTCAGCTAAGTATCCAAACCTGGGTTCTGTATGACTCTAGAACTGACACTCTTGATACTATGTCATTATCAGTGATAGGGACTGTGTGAGTTCGCAAAGGCAACATAGAGGAGATGAGACTTGAACTGGCCCCAACAAAATAATGCTCAGTGCAGGGGATGGGTGGAGGAGCCATTCTACTAACGAATGTCCATCAAACAATGTAAGTGAGGGGCTGGTCCCATGACCTGGTAGTTAAGGGAGCCAGAACCACATGAGTGACCACAGTTTGAGTTCTGGTCCTAGTGGTTTAAAAATCACACCCTATGGTTTTTGGCTGTTCACATGTCTTCCTTAGAGAGTTGTCAGTTCAGTTAATTTTACCGTCTTTTAATTGAGTTGATTTTTTTTTTTTTGTGGTAAGCCATTGGAGTTCTCTGTATATTCTAGTTATTAGTCCCTGTCCTGAGGCATAGTTTATAAATATATTCTCCCATTCTGAGGGTTGCTGATACACTCTAATTATTGTTTCTTTTGCTGGGCAGAAGTTTCTTTTAACCTGATGTAGTTCCATTTGTCTGTTTTTGAGATTATTGCCTGTGATTTCAGGGTCTTATTTAAGAAGTCTTTGCCTGCTCTGATGTCTCAAAGAATTTCCCCTGTGTTATCCACCAGTAGTGGGTCCCGTTACCAGCAGTAACGGTCCAGTTTATAGTTCAAGGTCTTAGGTTTAGATCTTTGATCCATTTGAGTTGATTTTTATTAATAGTGTGAGATAAAGGTCCAGTTTCATCTTTCTGCAAGTGGATACCCGGTTTTTCTAGCACCATTTGCTAAAGAGATATATGCAGTGATTAAATGTATAAAAAAAATTAAAAAAAAAAATGAAACCCTATGTGTGTATGTGTGTGCCCCAAATCCTGACAGGATGAAGAGGTGGAGGAAAGGATACTGCTGCATAACTATGTCCCACTGAGAAGTGCTTTCTCCCTCACTGTCTCTCTCTGGAGAGCACATGCATCCTATGGCACATTGAAAAAAAATGTAAGAAGGACAGATGTGTTTATATTTCCAAAGATTTTTAGCACTTTATAAAGCCAGGACTGGAAAAAAAAATACTCTTGGTAAGTAAAGTTACTTGGCATTATATGAAGTTATGAACCCAGCAAGGTTTCCTGCAAGTGATGAATCACTTGCTTAAAGATGTTGTGTTTCTCAGTGCCTTTTAGTGTACAGGAGGATCACAAGGTCATCATAAAATAATGCACCCAGGGGTCCTATAGTCTCTCTCTTTCATGAATTCAAATAGTTGACCTTTTCTATAACTTAGAATCACAAAGTGAGTATAGAATATAGAAGTGCCAAGTGAGAATAATTTTAGTTAAAATGCAATATCCTCCTCAATTTTTCACCTTCTAGAAGTCCCCAATGTACTCCTAATTCTAACTTTCATTTTAAACAAAGATCCTAATTTAGTAACTTAAAATTATAGGATATTTTGCAATTCTGTTTCCTGTTATTCTCTTATTCTCCCTCTCCACCTATTTCATACCTTTGAATAGTATTGCATTGGGTCTGAGGAAAAACTAAAATATGACAAAATATTTTCTACCCTTTCCATTTGTTCCCCTAGGACCATTCTCACCTTATTTTTAGGTGCAACAATGCAGAGAAGGGTGGACTTCTCAATACTAGGGTGCCTGTGTATCTTTTAACAAGACAGATAATATGTGTGGTCACACTGGACATAGGGCCTGTTGCAGAATATAAACTGAGTACATGTAGCTGAGTCTGGCTGAATGAATAGCTTCTACATGACTTTAAAATAAAAGCAATACAGGTTACTCTTATATTAAAGCTATTTTTTAAAAAAAATTTTCCAAGAAAGCTTCTGTCCCTGAGGATAAATAACAATGGAAGAGATGCTGCCTGTGTAGGACCACGTACCTTGTTGATGATGTGGATCACTCCGTTTGTGGCTGCGTTGTCACCATCGACAATGGATGCTCCCTCAATTGTGATATTCTGTAAGCGCAAACCACAGCGGAAAGGTGAGGCCCCACACAGTGCATCTAGAGATCGATATTATTGCTGAGTTTCCCACTTTTTGAGCAACAGGGACCTTCACACTCTTGGGTCATGATTCTCAGCAAGAAATACATTGAAATTGTGACCCATGAGATATCACAGACATACACAGACACACAGACACACAGACACACACACACACACACACACACACACACTGAAATAATATTTTCCCCCACTGTGTGGGAGGTACTCCTCTGATCATTGAGTCTATATCACTCTCTTCTATTTCATTAGAAAAGTGCTGGTTGAGGCTGATTAAAGAGATCCTGCAGTTTGAAAAATTGTAGACAGCATTGTGGATTGCACATAGGTAACTCTTTTCTGTCTTCTTCTTCTTCCTCTTCCTCTTCCTTTTCTTCTTCTTCCAGAGCTTTTTGCTATAGGGCATGTGTACTTGCTGGGGAGACACAGACAGAGAGACAGAAAGCGAGAAATACGTCCCCCACACCCGGGGTGGGTGTGTGTTGGTCATGCTTCAATCCCTTTTCTTCCATTCTCCTTTTGGGATTTTGGGCACACATGCACATGCGCTTGGAGTGAGTTTCAAGTTGCTGGATTTGGGGCTCTAACCGTGGTTGGCCATGTGAAATTCTTGTATCTTAACCACTACACCACCTGTTGGCCTCTTTTATGCTTTCTAAAAGGAATTATTTGATGAACTTTGTACATTTAGATAGTACTAGGCAAATATTTTTTTCATAGGTTCATACTGATTAGTGGTAGAAATGGATTAGAGCAGTAATTCTTGATTTTTGACTGTGTGACCCAATTTTCTGATGTAGGAGTTCTCTCTTTTTTGGTAGAATCTCTATTCTTATCTCACGCAATTCATACAAAGAGCTTTAAAACACTGCCACATGCTGCAGGGAAGTCAGACCTCCTCATGGAGTCCTGAATCCAAGTCCTTGAAACACTGTAGAAAGTGCTAGGTGATGAGCTTCTTGGGGCAGGTCTCTTCCTTGGGCACTGCCCCATCTCCAACAGCAGATACATGCCTGGCACATAGTAGGTACTCAGTAAATATTTGTGACTGACTGACCCTAACAATATAAACGTCTAGTTATCTATAATGACTCATGTAGTAGGTTACTAGTAACCAGCTCTTAGTTCACCATGTATTAAAGTTGTGGAACTGCATATCTTTTACCCTTTCTGGATCTGTCTCTGGGCTGCTGGGAGGAGCCCTGTGGCCAGCTTTTGGGGAGATGGCCACATTTTATAAGATCACTGTCATAGAATAACATGCATGCATGCTTCTGTGTGTATTGATTTATGTTGACAGTTGTTCAGCTGGGTGATATCTGAGTGGGGACTCTGTTCTCTTTATTTTGTACATTTGGAAATTTCCATAACATGGAAAAAATTTAAGTCTGATATGAAAGGATGGATAGTGAAACGATGGTAGAACATGACACTCTATAAAAATATCCCACATGAGAATTTTCCTGATTCAAGGCAGGGGACTTCCTTGGGTGTGCTGAGCAAGTGCTTGCTCACAATCCAGGGAAAGCTGATGGTTGGAGGATGATGGTATCATTAAGACCCTGTTGGGGGTGCTGTCTCTCTCTCTGTTACTCTCTCATGGAAGAAATAAATGAGCTTGAAAAAAAAAATCTATATGAACAAACGTACCATATTTCCACTAAAGAGAAATCACAAAGCTCTCTTACCCCATCCACCTTTGCCAGGTGAAGGAAGTTGCCCTGCAGTGATGTTGCCAGCATGTCAGAGGATGACAGGGTCTGTAGATCTGCCACTCCATGTGTGCCCAGTAACATGTGGTATCTAAAACAACAGTCCACAGGGCTATAGTTAATATTGATGTGTGAAGCAGTTTCATTGAGTAGTTAAGAGACTAGGTAGGGCAGATGGTGTAAATGGTTATGTCACTGGATTCTCAGGTAGTTGACTGTGGTTCGAGTCCTGGACCTAGCAACTTAAAATTCATGCCAGGCACTTGTGCATGCATGCCCAAGATCCTGAGAGGAGAATGGAGGAGAAGGGATTGCAGCATGACCATTCCCTCTGAGTGGTGATTTCTCACTTTCTGTCTTTCTCTATCCCTCTGGGAGCACACATGCCCTGTAGCAAAAGTCTCTCTCTCTCTCTAAAAAAAAAAAAAAAAGAGAGAATAGAGTCTGGACCAGACAGCCATATAGCATAGTCAAAATTCAAATTGTCCCTGTAGTTATCGGCCTTGACTTGAGTTAATTACTTACCTCCCACCTCAGTTTCCACAGCTATAAGATGGGAATAATTATAATACTATCTCTTTGGGTTGTGGGGATTAACTGAGTTATAGGTAAAGCACTTAGAATAGTGTTTAGCCCAGAGCTGGCTGTAATAATTACTAACTCTTACTATCTTGGAAGAGGGACGAGAGGTGAATTCTAAAATATGCTAATTTTTTCAGATTTGAAAGATCCTGCGACTTCCCTACTTTGAACTTGTAAGTCATGTTCACATGGATGCCAGTCAGATACGATGGAGAATAGAACAGAGAATACTTACTTTAGTAGGGCTGGAATTTTGCTTTTCGACAACCAAAAGCTTTTCTCATCTTGGTCCATGTCCGCAATGGCTTGTTGGGAGGGCACGAGGATGGTGAGGTTTGAGGTGGTGGACAGCATGGGTTGTAGAGAAGCATTCTGAGTCACAGAAGGAGAATAAGGTGACCCAACTCATGTTAGGAGGCAAACAGGGCTGACCTAAATGCTTCACAAAGATGACAACTTCCTATGAGGTTAATTTCAGGGCTACTGGGAAGGCCACAGGGTATCCTTCCCCAATCCAAACTACCCATTGGCTGATACCTCATATCCCTTCCAGGACTCATTTCTTTTCTTAAAATGTGTGTATTTTTCTTTTCTTTTCTTTTTTTTTTTTTTTTTGAGAGGTTTTCGCTATAGGGCGCGTGCACTCACCAGACAGACAGAGACATAGAGACAGAAAGCGAGAAATCACCCCCTGGGGGAATGGTCACGCTGCAATCCCTTCTCTTCCATTCTCCTCTTGGGATCTTGGGCACGCACGCACACGCGCCTGGCGTAAGTTTTAAGCCACCGGGTTCGGGACGTGAACCGCGGTCGACTACGTGGGAGTCCAGCGACATAGCCATTATGCTAACTGCTGGTTCCCAAAATGTGTGTGTTTTTATTGAAATGCAACTTTTCCTGATCAAGTCATATGTTGAGTCATTATAAATCCTTTCTACTTTAGTCTACATGAAGAGCCAGAAAAACAGAATTTCATGCACATGTGTGCACAGAAAACTTGAGAAATCTTGGATGTCTTTGGAGTAAGGGTAGTAGGGTGATTGCAGGGACAATTTCAGCATGGTAGAAACTGGAGGCCTGAAATAAAATCTTACCTGCATTGTATTCTTGCCTAGAGTGAGTTTTGGGGAGAAGCAGTGGCCTGCTTATATTTAACAACTGGATAATCAGAGGGGGATAACCCTGGTTGGAGCATTTGCTGACTTCTCTGGTATAAATATTCCTACCTGGGCTGATCTCAAGCTACCAGTACGATAGCACTGAAAGTGGTGCTGGGAAAAGATGCGCCCGATGGGCTCTGGTGACCGGTGTGAGCTGGGTCCAATGGGCAAGCATATGCAGGTAGGGTGAAATCAAGCATGACTAGCCTATATAGAAATCAGTATGCTCAAGAGAGAATTATTGGGCATCTCTTTTGCCTTTGTTGGTAGGGGACAAGGGAGGCATTTCAAGAGGCCTCTACAGAAGCAACAGGGAGCTGTCATGCAGGGAGTGCTAACCTTCCACGACTCGTTTTGCCATATGTCTATTTAAAGGGCATAAACCATTTGTTACTGTCTGTATTAAACCATTCTGCCAAAGAGGGTCTGCCCTCTTGAGACAACTGGGCAGGGAAAAGATTGAATTCTTTGTTTTAAAACTTTTCAGGGGTGAGGGATAAGCTCTTCTGCTTATGCTGGACTGAGAGCTAAGCACATATTAACTGTCCTGATTATAGCTATAAATCTAAATTTAATATGGTGATGAATTGTGTTACTTTTTTTTCTAAAAACAAAAAGACCTCTGTGGTGAATTAAGCTATATATAAGCATTCAAATTAATTGAAAAATCAATCACTTAGATTACCTTAGACCAGAGGTTCTCAGCCCTGGTAGCATGTTAGAATCCTAGGAAGCTTTAAAAATACATGGATGCCCAAGGCAAACCTCTGACAAACAAATCAAACTCTCTGGGTGTGGGAGAGGCATGAATATTTAAAAAATGTATACTATGTGATTCTTTTTTTTCCCGATTTTATAATTTCTTATTTATATTTAATTGTTGTGCACTTTTTATGGGGTACAGTACGATTTTTCAAAGCATGCATGTAATATGTGATAAATCAAGGATATTACTATATACACCATTTTCAACAAAGAATCTTACATTCGTGTGTTCATTAAATGCCTTTTTGCGGGCCCCTCCCACCTGTCCCTCAATCTGCCCTCTCATATGTACATTTTCCGTCTCTACTATTATGTCTTCGAGACTTTTAATTTATGCCACAGAGTGCAGACATAGTTTGGATTTACAAAAGACCCCATATTGCCAAGGCTATACTGTGCAAAAAGAATAAAGTAGGAGGCATTTCCTACCAAGTGATTCTTCATTTTTAATCTTTTTTTTTTTTTTTTTTTTTTTTTTGCGAGATTTTTGCTATAGAGCACATGTACTCGCCAGAAAGAGAGAGACAAAAAGTGAGAAATCACCCCCTGGGGATATGGCCATACCACAATCCCTTCTCCTCCATTCTCCTCTTGGGATCTTGGGCACACACGCACATGTGCCTGGCGTGAGTTTAAGCCACCAGGTCCGGGACTTGAACTGTGGTCAACTACATGGGAGTCCAGCAACATAGTCATTATGCCAACTGCTGGCCCCCTACCATGTGATTCAGAAGTCTGGGTTGAGAACCATTGAGTGGGAAAATTGCCCTCCCTCCTTCTTATCAGTTGCATTTTCAGTTTTCTATGATACAAATTCTAAGTTTGTAAAATTAGAAACTGTCCCCACCCTAAATTCCAGAAAAGATACTCACATTTATCCACTGGTTAAATATAGCTGCTTCAGAGAGAAATGACAATTCCTTTTTCATAACGTGCAAGGGAGGGAGAGAGGAGAGAGAACAGAAGAGAAGAAACAATGAGAAGCTTAATCAGCACATTTCTGGGCAGCTGCGCTGAGCCTTCCTGGAGTAGGGCTCGCCTTCTGGCCAGCCTTGCTGATGGCAATGTGAATGGGTGTCCCATCTGTGTTCCCAGGGCTGCACATTTCTTTCACACTTAGGAGGCTCGATGATCCTCTAAATTTGCCATTAAAAGTAATAACCAGAAACTTTAAATGAAGCAACACTATGGTTCTTTCAAATCACAGTTTAGGTTGTAAGGACATGGCCACCCAGACCTAAGGAGGGTCCTAGAGTTAAGCCAGTAGGTGATTTCAAAGTGATCAGAGCCTGGAACCAATCCACGCTTTGCACATTCATTGGACTTTGGCCATTTCTGAGGTCCTTAGGCAAGTTACTTAATGGACTTCAATTTTCCTATCTGCAAAATGAGAATAATAAAAGCTCCAACTCATTGGGTTGATATGAGAAATAGAAGAATTACCATTTTTAAATGCTTAGAATAGAGGCTGGCATGCAGTAAATTTTCAGTATGTTTTCATCTCTTTCATGTTTAATCTATACAGTGTGGAATCTATTAATTAGTGAATA